AGAGGGGGCGGCTCGCACCTGCAGAGGGGCTGCCTTATCCTGAGCACTTGACCCCACAGCCCCCACCCCCGCCTCCTAAAACAGGCCTGCACTGCTGCGAAAACAGAAAGATTTTTTTAACGGCTGTGCAACTGCCCTTTGGTTCTGGCTCACCATGCTTCCTGACATGTTCAGCATCGTGGGGTGGAGCAAGCACCGGGGTCAAGTCCGATGTCCCTGGCACTTCGCTGGCAGTGTTTCTTTGCAGTGTTTTTGCCAGTGATTTATGGAGCAGAGCTCTGCCACTTAAGGCCATGACGATCTTCCATCCGTCTTGTATGACAGTTCATATAACACAGTTCCTCTCCTTCGCCTGTCCTTGGGAGGGGGCGGCATCCAGAGAGCCTGTTTTCAGCATCCCAGACCACGCTACAAGCCTTCTTTTTGTGGCTGGCCCTAGACCCATCCTTGTGCAGAGGTTATTATGTTATTCCTATTATTATGATTATTGTCATGTGCAGTGCATCACAGCATTTTCAAATGTCATCTGATCGTCCACCCAAACATCACCGTGAGGTAGATATAGCAGTGGGGTACTGTATGGTTATTAGTTATGGTACTAGTTAAGAACAGGGGCTCCAAAAAAAAAAAAAGAAAAGACGAAGACAACTGAACATAAATGCAAAACAGAAACAGACTCACAGACATGGAATACAAACTTGTGGTTGCCAAGAGGGGAGGGGGTGGGAAGAGACAGACTGGGTGTTGGAAATCTGTAGATACTGGCAGGTATATATAGAATAGATAAACAAGACTATACTGTATGGCATAGGGGAATATATACAAGATCTTGTGGTAGCTCATGGTGAAAAAGAATGCGACAGTGAGTATATGTATGTTCATGTATAACTGAAAAAGTGTGCTCTACACTGGAAATTGACACAACATTGTAAACTGACTATAACTCAACAAAATAAAATTTAAAAAGATAATAAAATAGAAATAAAATAAAATAAATAAAAGAACAGGTGGATTTGCATCCTGGCTGTGCCTTGGTTTGTACATGGCTGTAGTTGTGTGACCAGGGACAAGTTCAGAAACCTCTCCAAGCCTCCGCTTCCTCCTCTATACAGTAGGGAATGATAGCCTTAGTAGGTTATTATGAAACAAATAACTAAATTTTTATGACATTTAATGTGTGGAACAATGACTGACACAGAATAATCACAATAAAAATGTTCACTTTTATTGTTATCGTCACCATTAACATCATCTCTACTTCGCTGTAGGGTTTCCAAGAATTTGTGATTTGCCCAAGATCACATTTCCAGTACAAGGCTGGAATAAAAAACTCAAGCTTGGGTGTTATGACCCTAAGAGACAATGGACTTTTTCCTTCTTGGTCTTTATTTCTTTATTACACAGTAACATAAAAATGAATTCTTGTTGTAGAAGATCAACGCGATACAGAAGCATACCAAGGAAATAGTGTCCCATCCCTACTCTTCCTCTCTTCCCACAAGTAGCCACAGAAAACTACTTGGTGTGCTTTCTCCCTGGAGTGCCCTGTCTTCTCCTCATGCAGGGCACACACATAGCATCAGTGTACATTCACATGTGTGTCCTCTCCGGCAGAAATCATAGAACAGTGCCTGACTTACAGGACTGATGGATGGAAGTGCCAGGCAATATACTAGTCCTCTCATTAACTTCCTGAGGTCAGTACTATTATTCTACCCATTTTACAGATATGGAAGTGAAGATTAGAGAGAATGTCACCTTCACAAAACCACATAGAGCTGAAACTGGATTTGAATCCAGTCAGACCTACCCCAGTACCTACACATTTTTGAGTCCTACTATATGTGGCTGTCTCATAGGCATTGTTTTTCCATTTGATTTTTTTCTCTTAGTAATATTAGTGTGAACTCCTTCCATGTGAGTACATGTAAGTTTACTTTATTCTTTTGATGGATACATGTGATTCAATATTTTGTTTCACTAGTTTCTTATTTAAGTCATTTCTGTTTCTTTGTTCTTTCCCCTTATAAATAAGGTAGTACTGAATATCCTTAATCCATACACTTTTGGGCACAGCTGTGAAAATTCCTGCAGAATAGCTTTTACAAGTGGAATTGTTCAGAGAGTAGTATGTACATATTAAATTTCAATAAATATTGCCTTCCAAAAGTAATTTTGCTCACCAACAATGTGAGAATGCTAATTTCCTCATGAGTCTTTTTTTTTTTGCCTATTTGATAAAGAAAAAAATCTTTTTATCTTTGCCAATTTGATAAAAAAAATTTTTTAGTTGCGTTTCTCTGATTCCTGGTGGAGCTGAACTAATTATTTTGGGGGGTCATCTGTACTTCCTCTGGAAATTGCCTTTTTCCCATATTACCATTTGTTTTTCATTATAGATGCTCTTTATATATTCTGGATAATAATCTTTCTTCTGAAATGCATGGCAAATATTTTATCCCTGTCTGCGACCTCTCTTCTAACTGTGCTTTATGCCTAGAGTGTGTGTGTGTGTGCGTGTGTGTGTGTATGTGTACAATCAGTCAATGTCTGTCTTTATTGTTTCTAGGCTTTGCCCTGCTTAGGAAAGCCTTCCTACCCCGAGTTTGTTAAAATAATCTCCTATATGTTCTTCTAATATTTTTATGATTTTGTATCTATTTTTGACTTTGTACCTCTCTAGAATTTATTTTTGTATGGGTTGTGAGTTAGGAATCTAGATTTACCTAGTGGAGAACCCATTATTCTCACCGTCAATTGAATAATACATTTTTTTCAACTCATTTGAAAACATCCCCTTTTATCATAATTCTCTTGTGTAAGTATGGCTGTGCACTTGGTTCTTCTCTTCTGTTCCCCTGATTTATTTTCTATTCCTGAACAAACATTAAAACACGTGAATTATTTTAGCCTTAGAAGAACTTTTTAATTGGGAAGGGAAAATCCCCTTTCACTGCTACTCTCTTTTTCAAAAACAGTTTTTTTATTTCCGTGCATTTTTTTCCTCCATGTGAACTTGTAAAATCAGTTTGTCAGGTTCTGTAGAAGAAACTCCTGTGCGTATTTTGATTGCCAATATATTACGTTAATTAGGTTTATTTTAGATAAATTGGCATCTTTACAATATTTAGTTTTCCTATCAGAAATACCATATGTCTCTGTTTAAGTCTTTCATGTCCATCAGTTAAGTTCTACAGTTATCCTTATGTACACTTTGCACTGAAGCATTTATTTGTTGCTATTATTTACAAATGGAATCCTGTTTTCCCATCACACGGACTTAATTTATATTGCTAATAAATAGCAATAAAATAGAAACTATTGGGCTTATATATTAATTTTTAATCTAGCTACTTGACTGCACTCTTTTATTAGTGACCTTCATACTTACTTCTTTTCCTTGATCTATTACATTGTCTGAGACTAAAGCAATGTTGAAAAGCATTGGTGAAATTGTCCATCTCTGCCTGGTTCCTGTCTTTAATGGGAATGCTTCTAATGTTCCACCACTGAATATGGTAGATACATTTTATCAGCTTGAAAAAATTTCTTTCTATTTCTAGCTTACTGAGGGGTGTGCTTTTCACTGCAGATAGCACCAGGGGCTTTCATTCTCCCCTACATTTTCCTCGAGAATTCAGAGATTGTCCTAACTGACTAGGACCTCCCAGCATTGACACCCCAGCTGACTCAACATGGTTTAGAACTGAGTAATACTTTCTCTCTTCCTCCTCTCAGTCACATAGGACTCTGGAAGGCTTAAGGGAAGGAGCTGCTTTGTGGTAATATTTCCCTTCACCACCACCACCACATCCTTTAGAGAAAAATAAACAAAAAAAAAAGTACTGTATGGATAAGAGCAAAATTCCGCTTCTGGAATTTTCTGGCAGGCACCACTGAAAAGACTTCATTCCTGGCTTCTACTTTTAAATAACTTCCATTTTTTTCCCACTTGGTTATCTTGAGTAGCTGAACACCATCTCATACTCTAGTTGGCTAAGTGGTTTCATGGTTTCTACAGGAGGGTGTGAGAAAGAAATCACTACCTGACCTCTGATTTCCTGCCGGCCCCGAGTGCAGCCACTTCTAACTCTGGGCTCTCAGCACTGCCTTGCACACAGTTAATGCAAAAGAAATGTTTTCACAGTTGAGTAATGAAATATAATTGCAGAGTACCTTTGATCATTTTTAGGTGATAAGTTTTCTTGCTTGGCTATGAACGAAAGGATCTCGTTCTGTCAAGCGTGCACTTGGAGCATGGCTCTAATGTGACTTGGCACCTGTCTCGAGAATTATCTGTGTGTCCAGTGACATTTTGCTTTGGGGAAGTCAGCACCTGCTGTGATGGCATCTGTCATATTTAAGAATGTGAAATGCTGATGAGTAATGCAGAGCCACCTCAGTAAAATGCCTTCTTTAGAAAACAATTAAAAGGAGACTTTGGCAAAAGATAAATTGTAAGCAGCATAGAGGAGAATTGGGGCTCCTTCCAAGATAAAAAGCAGTCTCTCATCTTGATGTAAGCTGGGAAGATTTTATTATTTTCAGACTGTTTAGCTGAGAAAGCAAGACCCTGCTAAATCAGGAGCCTTTCTTTGTATTGCTGTAGTACAAACCAACACTGGCCTCCAACATCAATTCAGATGTTCATGTGTTTGAGGTGGAGTTTCTTGGGAGATGGAGTGGACTCATCTCAGGCACATGACGTGTAACTGGCAACCAGCCAGGAGCACGCAAGCCAAGAGAGAGCTGGCAGCCAGAAACCCCAAGAGGCAAGGCAGCCCCACACGGCAGGCATGAGTAGCTGGTCTCTGAGCCCCTCCCAGTTCCAGTGGGGGCGGCTTCAGCTTCCAGGGCTGTTGGTATAGGAAGTTTGGTCAGTTGGACAATTATTTTTTCCTGCCGTAGCCTCTTCTCTTTTCCTCTAACTTCCCATGTCCAGAAAAGAGGCTGGGAGCAGTGACCAGGAGTAGGCTAACTATCTCCTACCTCTTCTCCAGGCAGGCGACAAACACTACCACCCCAGCTGTGCACGATGCAGCAGATGCAACCAGATGTTCACAGAAGGAGAGGAAATGTATCTTCAAGGTAAGGTGGACTCAAGAACCCAGTAAGTTCTTCCCACCTGGAGAAAGAAAGCCTTGCTGTAGTTTGTTTGTTTTTAGAGGAGGCATTTCATTAGCTACAAGGCTACCCAGAGCCAAGATGAATGTAGCCAAATGTTACCGCATCAGTTAGTGTTAATCAGCCAAGCATTTGACATGCTGGCAGTGAGCCTCTGAGGCTGTTAACAAATGAATGTGCTGCTTCTGGAATGAATGAATTGGACTTGATGTTTGGGGCTGTGGAGGTGTAAGGCAAGACTGAAAATCAGCTATTCCTCTCCTGACCCCACCCTCAACCCCCTGGGAATATGCTTGGGAAACAAAAGATAAAAAGAGGAAAAGCATTTCTAGAAATGCTACACAATGGATGGCTACTTTGTCTTTTCTCACTTCACTATCCTGGGGGAAGGATTTTTTTGCAGGGAGGAAGGCTGGGGTGTACCTCCCAGGCTGCTCTTACCCAGGCTTGCAGGAAGAAAAAAAATCTCATTTTTGGTGAATTGCATAACAGATGTATTTCATCCCACTAAGATGGTATAACTGTCGTATTGAAAGAATGAGAGACAGAAAGTGAGAGAGAACACACTCAAAGTCCCTGAAAGAGAAATTGAGAAGTTTCTGGTGCCAAGGAAGTGCTCATTACCAGAGGGCTGGGTTTTTGTTTTGTTTTTTTTCTTTTTTATGAAAAATAATTTTGAGAAATTTTCCTAGTGTACGAGTGTCATTAGTTTTTATCTCCTTCTCTAAAATTCTGAAGATGCCCAGAGAGCTTGAGGGGAGGGTTCTCCCCCAGTCAAACAGCACCATCTGTGCAAGCATTTTACTATTTTTAGCAGGAAAAGGAGTCATTAAATAGACAAGGGCTTATCAGTAAAAGTAGCAAGATCCGTAAGAGCTATTGCTTGTTCATTTTTGCTAATTACTGGGTCTCATCGGCCTTGGCGTGCCATTTCTTCATCTCTCTCTGCATGTAACACTGTGTGTAGTTTTAATGCATGGTTTGCTTTGCTCTGTTTTGTTTTTACGCAACTAAGAAAAGTCTCCAGAAAGAATTCTTAAGTATTAGAGCAAAGCTTTGGCTGCTCTTCCCTTAAAAATGCTATCTCTATGAGACACTGACAACCCAAACATCCTTTTCGCTTTAGAATGATCTCTCTGAAAAAGTATAATTAAAAATATCACTGAATTTTAAAAGCCCCCGAGAAAGGCAAGTGACAAGCACCAAGTCCATGGTCTCACGTGGGCTTCACATGACGTATTTCCCCGAGGACAGTCTGTGAATCCGTGGGAGCAAGAGGCAGGTGTCACTTTCCATTTTCAGCACAGAGCAGATTGATTCTTCATTTGGTCTCCAGGCTCTGTTTTAGGTTTGAGTGCTTCAGTGACAGCCCTCAAAATCCAAGACCCACGAGTGCATATCACCCGTGCGTCTGCTGAGAGCCAAGGCTCAAGGCTCTGGGTGCGGCTCTGCATGGTCATGTGGTTCTGGAAGCCGAGCAGAGTGATCTCAGGCTGCGCACAGCACGGCACGTTCATACGACAAGTAAACGGCTCTCAGTTAAGATGGGCTGCAGTCAGATTTCAGGGATTGTTGTAAATCCCTTCTGGAATTAGGCTTCGGCATTCTCCACCTGCCCTCGGCATGTCTTTGAAGAATGAGCAGCTTCATCTTCCCCAGCATCAGGTGTCCTCTCTGGGTCACGTTCCCCGTGCGCCTGACCTCAGGAGAACAGTGTGATGCCATGTGCACACACGGGATTCTGGGCCAGGACTCCTGCTGCATAGAACCTCCACAGCACAGGCTGCCCCTGGGCCCAGCCCCGGCCCCCGGCTCTGGGCTCTCCACATTAAGAGGATGTCCTGTGCTTTGTCGCCAGCCCCAGAATAAATGTTAGCGCTGAACAGACTGTGTGCCTGTCTGGTTTTTGTTTGTTTGATTTTTTTTTTTGGCCCGGAGTTAAGCAAAACAGAAATGATTGTTAAATAGGGATTAAAGTATTATTCTGATATAAACTGTATTTTCCTAGTCATCAATTTAATAGTAGTTTAGCTCAGTTGGTATAAAATAATTCGAGAGTTATTTTAATTTGATAGCTTTCTGAGTACACACAGATTGCTGCTTGAAGAGAGAAAGATTTCAACAGTGAAATGCAGGGAGTCTAATATGCATACTGAGACTCTTATTAAATTTACATCATTCGCTGATGGCTTTCAATTTAGTAACTTTATTTGCTCAAGTCTTTTTAAGTGCCCCTTCAAGCTCTTCT